CTATATAATACTGGTTGCCAGACAGGGTATATTATAAATTAGAGTATGAGTAAGCTGAATATAGAGAGAATAGGTATGAGGGCATGAGGTCTTGATTTTGAATAATGGCTTTGGAAAAGCAGAGGCTTCAGTGAATTTTACAGACATGGCAAAAGGTAATCTCAGCATCACACAGTTCATAGGTGGGGTAAGTACCACAACTAGAGTGAGGTGAGCAAAGCACTCACCACGGCTACAAAATGTAAGGGGTCACCAATAACTCATATTTAATCACTATTTAAAATTCCAAAATTAATGCAAAATCTGTGATGGACAAAATGTCACAATTATGATTTGGCGCTGAGTGGGAAGCCTGAACTTAAATGCTGTCAGTCTGAGCTCAGGGTGCATGCTTGTAAACATTATTTGGGGATGATTCTCAGGATTTGAAAGATAAACAACAGTCAAGTATAATTTAAAGAGCATAAAGCTAATTGTCAAGGATAATGGTGAAACCAAGGACTCGTTGCTTAGAAGGAAAGCAGAGAAAAATGACTAATTTAATTTCCTTTGTATGCTCCCATTTAGAAACTTAAGTGTCTGTATAGTTTGGCTTCAAAGACAGAGGACAAATAAAAATCTTACTTAATGTTACACTTTTCCTTGCCTCTCTTGGCATTCTTTTATCAGTGTCAAGAATCCAGTCACTGATCATAACAAGCCAAAAGCGATCTCCCTTGCATCTGGTGGTTTATTTTCTGTAAGAAATATAAGATGTGATTAAAAGTGACTAGAACACTGAGAAACATTTCTTATCTTATATAAGAAGCTCTGGAAATAGGGAGATTATTCCAGGACTGGATAATTCAGTGCCTCCTCAATGTCACCATAAACTCAAGTTCTTTCATTTCTAACCTTTGCCTTTCACAGTGAATCACCTACTGCCCTCATGGTTATAAGGTGGCTACAACAGCTCCAGACTTTACATTCCAAAGCAACACGGTCCCTGTTTCCCTTTAACAGCAAGAAAACCCTTCCCACAATCTCTCATCCAACATCTGACTCTAGAATCAATTGTGAATTCATGTTTTTGTTTGTTTTTTGATAACAGTATAGCATAGTATTTAAGAGTCGTACTCTGGACGGTGTGAAAGTCTGGCTCTATCTCTTACTAGATATGTAACCTTAGGCATTTTATTTAAATTCTCTGTGCTTCAGTGCTTTTATATTTAAAATAGAGATAATATACCTACTTCATTGGGTTATTGGAAGGAAAGAGTGAGTTAATGTATATAAAGTTCTTAGAATGGTATCTGACGGTTAATGTACACTCTGTAAGTATTAGTTATTATTTTTATGTTGATCCTCACTGTAATGCACATAATTTGACTCATGGAAACATGAGAGGTATGTAAGTACAATTAAAAAAGAAGACATCAATAAAAGGTTTAATTGCATTGTATAATATTATTCTCCTTGACACAATTTGGATGTGATGTCTGAGAGAATGAATAAAAATTGACTTGAGGACTATTATCTTAATTTAAGATATATCTGTATCATCTTTATATATTATATCTTTATCTCTATCACTATCCCTATCATGTTTGTGAAGCTGTTGTCCACATGGTTGAAAATCAGAGGTTGATCTCAAGCCAGCAACATTGACTTCATGAAAATAACCTGGTTTGACTATTTTAAGACCAGGCAATATATATCTCTGCAGAACATATATAGTACATTTAAGCATAAGGATAATTAAACTGATATCTATCTTGTTGGATTTTATTGTTAAGTTCCTCAGTGAACACTTAGATGGAAGGAGAATGGAGAAATGGTCTCAGTCTATCCCGATCATAAAATTCTCATTTGCAATATTCTTCCCATTAGATATAAAATATACTAGTACTAAAAAATGCATTTAATGGTGCCATTACATTCTAGTTCCTTACATATAATTCTTGTAAAATTTTCAATTGCAATGATAAAATTCCATTTCATTTCCTTTCTCTAAGGTTTAATCTAACCATTCAGACTACCATATTTCACTCACATGTAGCCCTCCAGAATGTAGTAAAATAAGGCCCAAAGAGTAAAGTTACAGTCACTGAATCATGGAGATAGGCTTCCCTGAGACCAGTATTGTAACTTGGCATCTTGAATGAGCTGTGAATCCCCTGAAATAGAATATAAAATTTTGAAATTCTGCAAGAATTCTCTCTCTCATATCATTTTTCCCTTCTCTGTGGGACTTTATCCATTAGCATAAAAATGGAATATTCTTCCTTTAACAACAGAAAACCCACTATGATTCTAGGCCTCCTTCAACTATTACTCAATCTCTGTCACTTATTTTAAGGTAAAATATTCTCACTGGCTCTAAGTTCTTACTATTTGATTTTGAATGCATTCCACTGAAACTTTCCTTTGAAGGTCACCAATGACATGCTCATCATTAAATCTAAAGGTATATTTTCAGTCTTCATCTTACTAACCTATCAGTAGCATTTGCCTGTTGATCACTATATCCACCTCAAAACAGTTTCTTCACTTATATCTAGTACATTACAGTCTTTTTTTTTCTGTCTCTCAGTCTCTCTCTCTCTCCTCAGAATCTGATTGCAGATTCCTCGCTATCTCTCTGACTTATCTTCTGAATGTTGAAGTACGCCTTGTCTTCTAAATGTTGAAGTATTCCTAGATTCATTCACTTGTGATCTCATTCAGTATCATGACTTTAAATACTTTCTATGCTCTATTGAGCTCCCAAGTTTCTATCTTTGGTTAGGACTTCTCTTTTGTAGATCATATTGGGCTAAACAACTGCCTACATCTGCATGTAGATGACTAATAGTCAATGCAAGTATGACAAGTCTAAAACTCAGCTACTTATATATTCCTCCTACAAAAACTCTGTTATCTCCAGTCCTCCCCATTTCAGTAAGTGGCCTTTCCATTGTTCCAGGTTTTCATGTCAAAAGCCTTGAAATTGTCCTGTACTCCTCTTTCTTTCACACCCAATAACCAAAGTGTAAGCCTATGCTATTAATTCTATTTAAACACATTCAGAATCTGGCCGCATCTCACACACACACTGTTACCACTCTGATAGAATTCATCATCATCTTTCTTCATGATTATTTCATGTAGCTCTTTATGATTTGCCTGTTTCTAACCTGGCTTCCTTTAAATCTTCAGCACAGCAAATGAAGTTACGTTAAGTCAAATCACTTCATTCCTGCGCTCAAACCTTCCAATGACTTCTTATTTCAGTCAGAATAAACGTCTAATTTTAAGAGTACTTAACCTTTAGAAAATAAAATATGTTGGTATAATTCTAGACCCTTCAGATGTCAAAGGGAGAAGAATTCCTGAAAAGCTAAAATAGATTTTAAAAATAGGGAAAACATAAATCTAAAATTTACTTGCAAATTGATGAAAAATTAGGTACAACTTATACCATGTATCTAGATAGACCACCTCTTCAATCAGATCTTAAAGGATGCCCTTGCCCCATCACAGCAACTTTCATATACAATGAGAATATTTTAGAAATCCCTAGTGTGTTTTCTTACTTGCATTTTTATTATTTAATTTCTCATTTTACTAATAGTTTATATCTCAGGATTTAAAAAGGAAGATTTATAGACCCTAACTTTTCCAAATCCTATTCATTGAAGCTACTGTAGAAACATTTTAAGTACTGAGATGTTTAACAAGGGTAAACCAATCGAATATCGCTGGAATTTGATATAATTACTACCTTAATGTTTTCAGATTTTTCCAGTTACATCACAAATTATAGTAAATGGCCCTATCAGTCTTACTTTAGTCTCGGTTACTTAAGTCAATTTGGAAATTACTGTTCGTCTGAAAGTTTACAGAGCCATCTTCTCCATGACCTTTCCAGTACACTATGGGCCAACAGTGATTTCTTCTGCTCATAAAAGCATCCATAACTTAGAGTTTATATTGTTGTCTGAATAAAAGAAGTATGTATTATTTTAACTCATTCCTAATCTTTCCCTATATTGAACTCTTATTAAGAATATTAACTTCTCCAGGGCAATTACTTTCTTGGTAACCTATTAGTGTTTGGTACCAGAGTTATCCAATAAGTTTTTCTAACTGAATGCATGTGCATACTATGACAAAATGTAGTTTCTATTTCTGAGCAAAAAAAAAAATCAATCAGATCTTAAAGGATGCCCTTGCCCCATCACAGCAACTTTCATATACAATGAGAATATTTTAGAAATCCCTAGTGTGTTTTCTTACTTGCATTTTTATTATTTAATTTCTCATTTTACTAATAGTTTATATCTCAGGATTTAAAAAAGGGAAGATTTATAGACCCTAACTTTTCCAAATCCTATTCATTGAAGCTACTGTAGAAACATTTTAAGTACTGAGATGTTTAACAAGGGTAAACCAATCGAATATCGCTGGAATTTGATATAATTACTACCTTAATGTTTTCAGATTTTTCCAGTTACATCACAAATTATAGTAAATGGCCCTATCAGTCTTACTTTAGTCTCGGTTACTTAAGTCAATTTGGAAATTACTGTTCGTCTGAAAGTTTACAGAGCCATCTTCTCCATGACCTTTCCAGTACACTATGGGCCAACAGTGATTTCTTCTGCTCATAAAAGCATCCATAACTTAGAGTTTATATTGTTGTCTGAATAAAAGAAGTATGTATTATTTTAACTCATTCCTAATCTTTCCCTATATTGAACTCTTATTAAGAATATTAACTTCTCCAGGGCAATTACTTTCTTGGTAACCTATTAGTGTTTGGTACCAGAGTTATCCAATAAGTTTTTCTAACTGAATGCATGTGCATACTATGACAAAATGTAGTTTCTATTTCTGAGCAAAAAAAAAAGTTTGCTGAGAGATAAAATCATGAAATTAACGTATTTACTGTATCGAAAGAACAAATCAGGAAAAACGGCTTCTGTTAGTTTCTTTGGGAATGATTGTGACATTTTTCTTTTGTTTTCAATTACTTTTAGCAAGCTCTATTTCCAAGATGGGCTCAGATCCTCTAAAACTTGTACATGATGCTGTGGAGGAAACTACAGACTGGGTCTATGGCTTCTTTACTTTGTTGTCTGACATCATCTCGTCTGAGGGTGATGAAGATGATGAGGATGGGGACGAGGACACTGATGAAGGTACAAAGAGCATAGAGACATATCCAACTGCTAGGACCAATATTAGAGATATGCATTACAGTGGTCTGCTTAAGTTGAAGAACAAATGAGCACTTGGGTCAGGCTAAACCAAAATGGATAGATTTCTGAGTGCTAATAGCCTATTAAACAGGCTGCCAACTCAGTAAACTGGCTTCATTTGTCTTTCATCTTACAGCTTATTAGCCATTATAGCAAAGATGTCAAAATTAAATGCTACCATTACAGGAGAGACAATCTTATCATACTCTACTACAAACCCACAGTAGAAATTCACATTTATGCTTCTTTGGGGAAAAAAATAGCTATTTCTCAAGTTTATCATTAGACATATTGAAATAACAATAGTAAAACTGAATATACATTTGGTATGCATAAGTCATATTCACAGTCAAATAGCAGAAAGCAATCTTTCTAAAATCATAATCAAAAGTAAACTTATTGAACCAAATGGGGGTATGAAATGGAGAGACATATTCTAAATGTCACACATGATTCAGCAAACCTCCATATATGCAAATGAACAAAAGGAAATAAACTCAAACAAAACTCAAACTGCTATGGAGTAGATGTGAAAAGAACAAAACACTGTGATTCTCTCTTTTAGGAGACATAGGGTCAACCTTAGTCATCAGAAATCATGTATTCAGCCTTGGCTCCCCGGAAAGCACTTATTAATTTAGTCTTTTCCATGACTTGGTCTGAATTTGTATTTGTTTAGCCCCAGTGGGAGGTCCAGAAGAACAATAGAGAAATGAAACGAACATGGTAGATGAACTCTAATATATAATTTGGATCACTGCCACAATTTTATTGAACTCATAAAAGTGAAACTACCTCAAATAAATGTGTGTAAACAAAGTCTGTACTTAAAAACTATAATATAAGGACTACCATTGTCAAAACTAATAGATGGTTTTTAAAATGAACAAAAGGAAATGGGGAAATAGAAAGGCAATGTTATGCTATGCTAAAAGTTTTTCTAATTTGCTGTTTTTGTCTTGGTTTAGGAGAAATAGAGGAACCTCCCTTGAAAAAGAAAGGTTGGTTGTTTTCACTTAAAAAAAAAACCTATTTTTCTCTTATGGTAATGTTAATTTTTAGCATGACTCAAATATATTTTACTTGAATTGTAACCTTAATTTATTTTTAATGTAAAGTGTTTGTTTAATGATTAGATTATGTTAAAGTTTGTATTCATTTTATTCTTATTTTATTGTCAGTGCTAGTTTTCATTTTTAGGTGATAACTATAGGACAGGGTGGTTGAGATAACGTGGAATATAATAATCTTGGAGACACAGGCTTATCATGATTCACCCCAAAGGAGTAGTCACGTAGGTGGGCTTAAATGTGGTGCAGAGGGATTCTGAACATGAATAGCCAAGGTCTTCCATGACCAAGTGGGATGACCACAAATCCAAAAGATGGGAGCAGTATGGCTAAGAAAAAGGTGTACAGCTATTGAGCAAGAGCTTCAGAGAGGCAGGGATTGTTACAGCAAGGTGTAGAAATTATTCCTGGAAGAGACAATAGAGGGCAAGGGATACCATCCTGATATATCTAATGTGAGAAAAAAATAGCCAGTACTAAAACCAGACTTGATAGAATTTTGGGACTTTAATTATTGCTGTACATGTATAGCGAAGGCACTTGGGAGTATTGACTCCAGAGGAAAACTTTCTGGCTTCTGCTTCATGTTTCCCCCGACATATGTAGATGCAAACAGTAGCATCCAAATTTAGAGCTTCCGCCTTGCTTAAGCAGATGATCATCTCACTATCTGGGGCAAAATGCACTTAGTGTATGTTAATTTAGAGAATCTGAATTTGTAACTAACGAACAAAAGAAAGCCAAACTGGTGGAACTGAAATGTGGGAGAGACATCCAGAAATGAAAGTGTTGTGCATCTCTTGAGAGGAGAAAGGATGGGCTTCCTGACTCACAAATCCAGAATGGGAACTCAAGAACTCAAGATCTACTTCATCCACCAAATCCAAATTCAGAGTCTAGATTAGTTTACAAACGTCTTGAGGTCAGAAACAGTCTTTTTATAGCTGATCACCAATGAATAGTGCCTAGAAGATAGTCAAAGTTTAAGCTGATACATTACCAGTCACTATCTGGAAATAACAGCTGGGTATGTATGTCTTACAAATGGGAGGGGGGGAAACAAATGTTTTCTTACTTATACTTTAAATAATTCTATAAGAATATCATATGATGATGTTCTCCACAATTCAATATCTAGTACTTAATAAAGAATCTGTTATTCCCTTTTAATTTGGTTTTCCCCATGAGGTTATTTTAAAACTAAGTTTCATGTAAAGATAAGCATGAATTGCAAATCCATACAAAGCTGTGTAATTATTATTTCTTAAATTACTGCTTTTTTTCATTAAATCAACAGAAAAATGATTCAGTAATTTGTTTAAGATATTGTAAAAATGTCCGTAATGCTAGCCCCTAAGGAATATATGTGTTTAAAACCATATACTAAAATCTTAAAATCACTGGAATATATTTTCTTAATGATATTATTCACAGTTACATGAGAAAATGAATATGTAAGAAAACATCTTATACACCCTATCTTAGGTATAGAAGACATATAATAAAAAATGTTATTTGAAATGTAGTAAAGGAAATATGTTTTATTACAATTAGTATTTTTTAAATTTATAAGCTCTCTTTTTTTGTAGAGTCATAGAGACAATGAGAGTTGTAAAGCAGTATGTAACATTTTGCAAAACATTTCTGGCTATCAAAATTATATTTTGAATATTAATATTAGGAAAAAGATGCTATGAGCTTATCTGTATTTTGTACATTTTTGTAGCTATTTTGTACATTTTTGTATTTAAAAATTGTGATTTAAGAAGTATTTTAGTGATCTAGAATGATAGCCAGTTAAATCACTTGATTTTTTACCCATCTAAATGAATCTTTATTCATTTTTTCTTTAATACTCTTTGCCATTCATATATATTCAATAATATTTAGCCATTTTGTATTACCTAAGTTGTCAGGCGATTGCATTATTTTTTTACAGCCCTATATCTATTTGAAGCATTTTATTGAAATGCACTTAAAATGTTAGTTTCATTTGTCTAGTTACTGCTATTTTCCCTAAAATAAAAATTCAACTATCTTGCTACTTATGGATGGGATTTGCAGTTCTAATTTGATGTGGAATAATGGTCCAGTCAAAATCTCAGGGTTGCAGGATTGATTATTAAGTAGGTTATTAATATGGATGAATTTTTTGAATCTGCTAGTCTGTGGCTTATGTTGTTATATATAAATATACCTTTAGGGTATTAGATGTAGTACCTAGTGTCTTTATATTCTTTATGCATATTTAATTTTCAGCCTGTCAAAATTTTTAAATGTTAAATTCTATTATTCATTACCAAATACTCCATGATGAGGGTCCAAGGCATGGAATCATTATACAATATTATATTTGTATTATACAGTTGTTAAAAACTTGTAACTATGAAAACCACATGCCACAGTAAATCATATTTCCTGGAACAATAAAATTGATCTGCCTGAGAACATACCCAAGAAGATAATAGTACTGCTTCTATTTTATGAGATAAAGAAATACCCTTTCCCTGATCCTGAAATTGCTCAAATGCCACCAAAAAGACCAAGAGGCCTTCCTGCCCTGTCCTGCATACTGAAGGAGAAGCATGGTTTTGATATGCAGGTGTTCTGTGTTGAGGGGTTACTCTAAAGTTAGAGATATGGTAGAGTGGGGAGATTGGAACAATGAAAAGTTTCATTTAATGTTAGCTGAATAATGTGCAAGAGTGCATTGCTGTTGAGGGAGAGTCCCATGAGAGCAAAGCAAAAAGAGTGTCAATAGGAAATACTGGAAGCTAGAATGGCTTTTAAAAATTTAGATGTGAGCAATTC